ATATCTGGGTAGAAATGTTTATCTAACTGCAGATTTATTTATTCACTATTTACTAATCTATTTCAGCCATGAGGATAACTAAAAAATTAGACAAATGTTTTAATGAAATCAAGATATGTCACAGGCCCTCCACAAATATTATTCTCATATTCCTTTTAAAGAGGCAATTATGGGGCCGGCCCGGTGGCGCACTGCTATAGTGCACCACTTGGGAAGCGCAGTGGCGCTCCCGCCGAGGGTTCGGATCCCACATACAGACCGGCCGCTCACTGGCTGAGCGAGGCGCGGGAGCAACGCCGAGGGTTGCGATCCCGTTGCCGGTCCCGGTCCGGTTCGGGGGCGACACTGAGGGTTGCGATCAGCTGCCAGACACGGAAAAAAAAAAAAAAAGAGGCAATTATGGGGCCGGCCCGGTGGCGCACTGCTATAGTGCCCCACTTGGGAAGCGCAGTGGCGCTCCCGCCGAGGGTTCGGATCCCACATACAGACCGGTTCCTGCTCACTGGCTGAGCGAGGCGCGGGAGCAACGCCGAGGGTTGCGATCCCGTTGCCGGTCCCGGTCCGGTTCGGGGGCGACACTGAGGGTTGCGATCAGCTGCCAGACACGGAAAAAGAAAAAAAAAAAAAAAGAGGCAATTATGGGGCCGGCCCGGTGGCGCACTGCTATAGTGCCCCACTTGGGAAGCGCAGTGGCGCTCCCGCCGAGGGTTCGGATCCCACATACAGACCGGTTCCTGCTCACTGGCTGAGCGAGGCGCGGGAGCAACGCCGAGGGTTGCGATCCCGTTGCCGGTCCCGGTCCGGTTCGGGGGCGACACTGAGGGTTGCGATCAGCTGCCAGACACGGAAAAAGAAAAAAAAAAAAAAAGAGGCAATTATGGGGCCGGCCCGGTGGCGCACTGCTATAGTGCCCCACTTGGGAAGCGCAGTGGCGCTCCCGCCGAGGGTTCGGATCCCACATACAGACCGGTTCCTGCTCACTGGCTGAGCGAGGCGCGGGAGCAACGCCGAGGGTTGCGATCCCGTTGCCGGTCCCGGTCCGGTTCGGGGGCGACACTGAGGGTTGCGATCCGTTGCCGGACACGGAAAAAGACAACAAAAAAAAAAAAAAAAAGAGGCAATTATGTAAGTTTAACACAGTTGTTTTGAGGTGAACTCATTGAAAATATTCACAAACCACATTGGAGTTATCAGTAGTTTCCTAAGTCCACTCTTTAAAATATATATATATACTTTAAGAGTCAACCTATGTACTCATTTTATAGTTAAATACTTATGATTAAACACATAAAACAAGAGATTTGTTGCTAACTGTGCATGCATTTCACTCGTCCTAATGGCTGAAGATCACCTTTTCCAGAAGAAAACTGTCCTCCTGAATAAAATAAATTGTGTGTTCCCTGCCTAGGCATTCACACTTAATCAGGAATACATTATTTGAAAATTGATGCAATTACTTATAAATTATCAACGTTGGCTCAGATTGTTCCAACAAGATCCTGAGTTATAACTCCATAGAGTCTTGAGATTTAAACAATCATAATGCAACAATATGTCACATATGCTGGGCTTCAACTTTTTTCTTTAATATATTTATCTGAACTTTTCCACTTTAAAACCATGCTCTGTGCTCATGAAAATGGAAGCAAAATAAGAAGTGTTCTTCTAGGGCCGGCCCATGGCTCACTTGGGAGAGCATGGTGCTGACAACACCAAGTCAAGTGTTAAGATCCCCTTACTGGTCATCTTTTTTAAAAAAAAAAAAGAAGTGTTCTATCGTATAGTGTAGCAGTCCAGATGTGGACCCTGAAGCCCAACTGCTTGAATCCAAGTCATAGCTCTATCATTTACTAGCTTTGTGACCTGGAACAATGTATTTAACTTCTTTGTGCCTTGATATCATTTACAAATGTGAATAATAGCAGTACCTAACTTAGACAGTTATTAGAAGAATTAAATGAGTTAATATGAATAAAGGGTTTATAACAGTGCCTGAAACACAGTAAGCATTAAAGTTTAGATGTCTGCTACAATTATCATTCTTGATCATCTGTTAACATCACTCTTTCTAATCCTCTTTTTCCTGTGCTTGCACTAAAAATAACAGTATAGTACAACGGTTAGTTAAAAGCTGGGGTGTGAAGTAAGAAAGACCTGGATTTGAGTCCTGGCTCCACCACTTACCAGCAATACTACCTTGGAAAGTCACTTAACCTCTCTAAGCCTGTTTCCTCACATATAAAATGCAGATAAAAATGATGTCTACTTCATGGAGTTGTTGTGAGAATTAAATCAAAATGAATGTCACATACTTTACAAAGTACCTGGCGCATACCATGTGCTCGGTGAACCCTTGCTAAAAATCCCTTTTTTTTATACCCCTCAGTATTTTGGCAGGCACAATCTGGACTGTTCCATTCTCCTTTCTGATAGTCTTATAGGTTCACGAAGCTTTTGGCATGTACCTTTAATTATATGTCTCTCTTCATACTTGTAAATGTTCTGTAATTTGCAGATAGATCCGTCTCTCAACATATCTTTCTCCATGAATTATTCATAGTTATCCTGTAAAAATTTTAGAATTTCCTATTCTTTGTGAACCCATCAGAGCTTGAGACTCTTCAGCTTTTGTATTCCAGAACTTACACCAAGGACACCATTAACTTCCCTGGTTTTGAGGCCTTTGGACTTGGACTGAGCCACGCTACCAGCATCCAGTTTATAGACAGCCTATCATGGGACTTTTCTTCATAGTCACGTGAGCTAATACCCCTAATAAATCCCTCTCATATGATTATAACATATCCTATTGATTCTGTCTCTCTGGAGAACCCTGAAAGTTACTTCACCAGAAGTGTGGCATTAAACAGTACATCTCAGGAAACCAAACACTCCTGAGTGATACCACTCAACACTTAATTTCCATATCTATCCCTGTCTTCTAAAGTTATGAGCATCAGGTTCCTCAAACGATTATAGATAGATCTACCTTATGACCCAGCTATTCCACTGCTAGGAGTATACCCAAAGGAATGGAAATCATCATGTCAAAGAGATACCTGCACTCCATGTTTACTGCAACACTACTTACAATAGCCAAGAGTTGGAACCAGCCTGAATGCCCATCATCGGATGAGTGGATAAGGAAAAGGTGCTATATCTACAAAACGGAATACTACTCTGCTATAAAAAAAAAAAAAATGAAATACTACCATTCGCAGCAACATGGATGGACTTAGAGAAAATTATACGAAGTGAAATAACCCTGGGCTGGCCCGTGGCTCACTCGGGAGAGTGTGGTGCTGATAACACCAAGGCCACGGGTTCGGATCCCTTACAGGGATGGCCGGTTAGCTCACTGGGTGAGCGTGGTGCTGATGACAACACCAAGTCAAGGGTTAAGATCCCCTTACTGGCCATCTTTAAAAAAAAGAAAGAAAGAAAGAAAAAAGAAATAACCCAGGCACAGAAAGAGAAATACCACATGTTCTCACTTATTTGTGGGAGCTAATAAAAATAAATAAGTAAATACACAAACAAACGGGGGGAGGGGGGAAGAAGACACAACAATCACAACAATTCCTTGATCTTGTTAAGACAAATGAACAGATACAAAGTTGATGGGGAGGAGGCAGAGAGGGAGGGAGAAAAAAGAGGAATTGGTAAAGGGACACGAAAATCAACTATATTGTATATTGATAAATTTAAATAATAAAAAATAAAATAAAGTTATAAGCATCAAATGGAGATATGAAAAGATAGGGCCTGTGCTTGCTCTTCAGAACTTTAAAATCCCAAGATTTCTTCTAAATATTTCCATTAATGTAAACAAAAAAAATGATCTGGACCGCAACTTTAAGATAGCAAGGACCACATATATTTTACTCAATATTGCCTAGTGCCTAGTACATATTAGACCAGGGGATGCATACTTTAGCCCGTAGGCCAAATCCTGTGCCTGTTTCTGTATGGTTCACAGCTGAAAATGGTTTTTACATTGGTGGGGAGGTGGTGAAGAAGGAGGTGGAAGAGGAAGAGGAAGAGGAAGAAGAGGAGGAGGGGAAGACAGATGATTTGACCATTTGTGGCTCACAAAGCCTAAAATTTACCATCTGGCTCTTTTTTGAAAAGGTTTGCTGACCCCAATTATTAGACACTCAAATATTTGTTAAAAGAGAAGGTAAGTGGAGGGGAGGGAGCTGTAGAGATGGGGAAGGAAAAATAGAGATTTATAACAAATATAATTGGAGATCACTGCAAATAGTAAAACCACATAATAAATACTATACAGGTCTTTATTTATTTATTTATTTTCTAAAGATGACCAGTAAGGGGATCTTAACCCTTGACTTGGTGTTGTCAGCACCACACTCTCCGAAGTGAGTGAACCAGTCATCCCTATATATGCATCCAAACCCACAGCCTTGGTGTTATCAGTACCACACTCTCCCAAGTGAACCATAGGCCAGCCCTTATACAGGTCTTTAAATCATTCCTTAGCTTTCCTTTTCATTAAGTTCCAAGATAAACTAAAAGTATTTCCTTAGCTCATTAGCACATTTTAGAGATTTTTTTTTTTGTAGCTGATCTATTCTTGAGTCACAGGTACTCCTAAGAGAGAACTAAACTTAAACTTTGACAGTACACCTCCTCTCTGACTAGCCAAGTTAACATAAATGTTAGTCATAAGGAAGGTGTCAGCCACTGTAAGGTGTCAATTTACAGGTATGTATGTTCCATCTCATACATATATCCTTTGTTACCAAATAGCACAAAGTAGCTAAGCACTAAGTAACATTCCACTGTTCTGTTCCCATTTGACTGTACACCCATTACTTCAAAATTTAATCATTTAGAATTTTCCACAAGCCCTGAAATAAAGTTTTGAATACTAAAAAATGTTTAACCAAAATGTGAAAGTCACATTCTCAAGTAATATAAAAGAGCAATAATAGACCTATTCATAGCATTGCTTATAAGAAGTACATACAAAGGTATACCTGAAAATGCTGCTCCATCACTTGAATTTTTCCTTGGTCTGGGCACTTTTTCAGAGCTCGATCTGCATAATGGAATAGGATTTCTACCATCTGTAAGGAAAATAGCCTTGCATAGAGATTAAAATACATCCCTAAAGTTTTTCAATATTTAATATATGTGGCCCTCCTAAATAATACAGAATCAGGCTTTGTTATTAGATTAAAAATATAACTCAAAATTTTAGTGGCTTTATTTCTCAATTTTTTTAAAACCCTGCCTAATTTCTTTCAGCCTCAGGGCTAGTACTAATTGGCTAATCTTTCCTCAGAAATATCTCCATGTATTAGACCTCAGTAGTATCTATGTTGCCCAAGAAATAAAATATTGAAGTTAAGCTCTTCTGTAACCCTCTCTTGTAGGTCCTTCCCTAAAGAGCATTAATGAGCAAATCATTCAGAAGTCGAAGAAGTGACCAATTTCTATTCATGTTTTCTATAAATGTTTATACTAACTTGGAACATAATTTTTACCAATGCATTTACACAATAAAAAGGGGAGGAATTCTATAGTAAATTAATTCAACCAAGTCTAAACTAGGAACAGAAAGATAATATTAAATATTAATATCAATTATATTAATGCTAATTAATAATAACATTGAAACATCAACTCTCCTGGCTACTTTCAGGCAACACAAACATTTGCACATAATTACTAAGTTCATAAAAACTAACAAATGTCAACTTTTTATGGGCAATAGTTAGGTTCAGATACAATCCAGATCCCCAGGCTTTCTTCCTCCTTTCTGCTGTCTTTTGGCTATTTTACGATTTTATTATCTTCATAAGAGAATAAAAAAGAAAAAGTGATAAGAAGGAATTTAAAAAGCTTGCAAGATGACACCAGAGAATTATAAACTAACTTTTTTTATACACTCTCTCCTTGATTGCAGCCATTTACCTAACCATGCCCAAACATATTAGCAAATATCAAAAGCAAACTGCACTGTACCCTAGTAAAGATCCTATCGAATACTCACCCGATCTGCAACAACGGCCTTTCGCTTACTGGCATCCCCTGATAATCCTGCGGAAAAGCAAAATCCAACATAAAACAAAAGTTAGACCACATCTCCAGGAGTGAAACTGTGTTCTGGTCTTTTATTCCTATCCTGTGCTAACAACAGATATACTTATAACAGTCCTTAGATATCAAAATGTTGGATAATATGTCATAACAGTAATACCTGATATCTATTGGAACAGACAGCATATCAATGTACTTCCCTTTAGTTCTAACAGTAAATTTTCCTTATGAAAAAATTTTTAAAGTGATATTTTAATTTCTATACCATGTATTTCTCATTAAGCTTCTTTACAGAAAGTTTCTAAGGTTTAATAACATCTTGTTTACAAGATACTTGAACACTCAGCTAGAAGTGTTCTATGAGTGATTAATACTATTCATTCCCTCTACCCCAGAAAAACAATGTCTACTAAACCAGTATTCTGTCAACTTACCCACTACTGCTTTTGCTTTTCCTTCATGGAAAGACCATGCAAGAGCCAAGGCTTCTGTAAGACAATCTTGTTTCAGAAGATGATCCACTCTCTAAAATGAATAAAGGAGAGAATCCAGACCCTTTTGTCTAACCAATCACCAGGCAGAATTCCTATTCTTCCTAATATCTTTCCAGAAGTTGCTGCTTAGTAGCTAAAATTATTTCAATAACTATGTGAATTTCTTATTTCTAAGAAAAATAATTTCTTAAAGCACTGGATAGTACAATGATTGTGTAGGTTAGTACAGACAGCCACAGGGTTTATATATGAAATGGAGAAACAGGTGGAATGTCATTGTAGCAGAAATGGCTAGTTGTTTATCACAACATCCATTCACTCCCTCCTCCTTAGTAACAAAAACCCAAGTTTATCTGAGACAGTAATACACCAATTAAAGAATTTCTAAGACCCCCCTGTAGTCAGTTGGAGCAACGGGACTAAGCTCTGGCCAATGATATAAGTAAATGGAAGCGTTGTTTAGTATTTCTGGGATATCACCTTAAAAGGTAGGGGCTGGCCTTTATTTTCTCTTTCCTCTTTCCTGGAACACAGACTTAACAGATGGAGTGTTCTAGTAACCATACTTGAGTATAAAATGACCCTGAGACTGGAATTCAAACATACAGATGCTGGAACAAGATAGCATACTTAAGATCATGGCGCTCCCATACTGGTCACATACTGCCTACCTCCAGATTGCTTTTAAGTGAAAGAGAAATCTTGTTTAAGCCACTATTATTCTGACTTTTCTGATATATGGATCCAAACCTAATTCTAACTATACAATCAGTTTTAGCAAATCAAAAACCTACGAGTTATAATGGTTTTGTCAGCACAAATCCAAATAATGTTTTTCTGCAAAGTCAAAACAAAAATGTGAAGATGCTATCAATTCAGTAGCTCCAATATGTAAAATTACTTTGAACTCACCTCTCTCCAGCTCCTCAGAATCATCACATAAACAGACTGGAAAATAAAGAGAAGAAAATTAAAATGGCCATCTTTAACAGACTTGTTTGGGAGGCACATCTGTTCCAGTCCCACATGTCATTTTATATCTCTTTAAGTAAAAACATTCCATATTATAGTTAGAAGTATATCTTACAGTTTACTAAATGGTCTTCAAGGACTAACACTAAAGAGTATATCAAACAAACATTTGAAGGTCAATAGGTCTACATTCCAAGAAAGAGTTAATTCCATGGATGAAGAATAAGGAAAGCCCAAGCTCATCTGCCTGTACTGACTTGGCAATATTTTAGTTAAATTTTATTAATGAAGAAACGTTAGTCCACATTAAGTTTTTTAAAAAGCACGGAAACAAATTGATATACAAATCATTCTTATTCCAATGATTCTATTCCAATCAAATGTCTCAATACATTTTAATGTATCCTAAGCTGACCTAAGCTAAAGGCCATCTTAATCACGTGACAAACATACATAATTAAGTATCTTTCTAGTCATGGAAACATAAATGTGAAGAAAGATTATAAAAGTATATCGCTGAATCAAGAAAATAAGCACACTGTTAGCACCTAAACAAAAGTAAAAATATCTTAAAAGTGGATACTTAACTAAAATTAACTAAAAATTATGACTACCTAACCACTAAAAGTTTTGGATCGTTACTGATCAATATTCACTTTGGAATATACTGCCCTGTTTACCAGCAACCTCCTTCAGCCCCAACTATCCTGATACACACAAATGCCAAATCACAGAGTAAAAGAGCTTACTTTTGTTCCCAAATAAAAGATCTGACCACCATAGCTACTGATGGACTGATAACAAGCCTTCTCTCCAACCAAAGCCTGTTAAAACAAAAAGGTAAAAATTACATGCATTAGAAGTCTCATTAAGTTTTAAAGAATGTCAACTACAGAGACAACATTTCAAGTCAACATGGTTTCAGCCCATAAGTGAGTGGGGGAAAAAATGTTGCTCAATTGCCAGGCTGACAGTGGAAGTGACAGAAAAGACAAAGTTCAAGAAGTAATTATCTGCTTACATATACAATCTTTTTATTTTTCAGAATAATGTGGAAAAGAGAAACATGCCAACTTCTAAATCTAAAGTAAAACTGTTACGACCTGCCCCTTACTAGATGACACGTAGTTATTGCTTCTAGCAAGGAATGTGGCTGATTGAAAATGGTATATCCAAGTTATTTGAAATAAATATCAACATAAAACACAAGAGGAAACAGGAAGACAAAGTAGCATAGTATATGGGAGTCAGCATAGCTCAGCAAAATAGAAAAGAAACTCATTGATAAATTTGAATTGCAAAGATTAGCTCTGCCACTTACTAGGAATGACATTAAACAAATTTCAAATCTCCTTCCAACATTCAGTTTTCCCATCTTTAAAAACCCTTGCTGGGCCAGCCCGTGGCTCACTCGGGAGAGTGTGGTGCTGGTAACACCAAGGCCCCGGGTTTGGATCCCATATAGGGATGGCCGGTTAGCTCACTGGGTGAGCGTGGTGCTGACAACACCGAGTCAAGGGTTAAGATCCCCTTACTGGTCATCTTTTAAAAAAAAAAAGAAAAGAAAACCCTTGCACAATTTCTGTGAGGCTTAAACACGTTAATATTTATAAATCTCCCAAAATATATGTGGTCAGTAACTGATAACTATGATAATTTTCATTAAGTTTTTATTATAGTATATATATATATATAGGAATTAAAAAATGTATACAAAAGTAGAAGGAATAATATAACTAAACCTTGAATACACCTGCCAATCAGCTTCATCAGTGATCAACACATCACCAATCTGGTCTCATCTATATTTCCACCACTCTCCTGTAACACAGTACCTGTATAATTTTGAAGTGAATCCCAGATTTTAAATATTTCATTAATAAGAATGCAGTGCATGTTTTTAAAAAAGAGTCCTTTTTTACAATAACCACAATTCCATTAACATACTTTGAAAAATTAACAATCATTCCTCAATATCAAATATTCAATCAGTGTTTGGATTTCAAGTTCTCTCATGAATGTCAAACATTGTTGAGGTTTTTTGTTCTTTGTTGTTGTACATTTCACTTGTCTGAATCAAGATCCAAACAAGGTGCACATATTGGAGCTGCTTATTATGTCTCTTAAATCTCTCTTGATCTACAGGTTTTGCCTCTATCTTTCTTAATCTCTTATTCCCCTTGAATCTTGTTTGTTGGAAAAGATGGAATATCTATTCTATGGTTTCCATTACTTGGATTTTGCTGACTACATCTCCAAGGAATCGTTTAACATGTTCTTCTGTCTTCTACATTTTCCCCAGAAGAAGCTTGATCAGATCCAGGGTTTTATTTTGTTTTGTGTTTTGGTTTGGTTTCTTGGTAGTACTATTGTAAGTATGTTATTAGCTATAGGGTTTTTGTAGATGACCTTGACCATCAGGTTGAAGAAGTTCCTTTCTATACCTAGTTTTTACCAGGAATAAACATTAAATTTTGTCCAATGCCTTTCTAGCATCTATTGAGATGATCTTATGGTTTTTCTTTTTCAGTCTACCAATATGGTAAATAACATTGATTTTCAAATGTTAAACCAGCCTTGCATACCATGGATAAAAACCATTTGATCATAATTTATCACTCTTTTTATATATTGATGGTTTCTATTTGCTAATATTTTGTTATGCTTTTTGCTTCTATGTTCATGAAGACACTGGTCTGCAGTTTTCTTTGTTATAATGCCTTTGGTTTTATTCTGAGTTAAGCTAGCCTCATAAAATGAGTTAAGTGCTCCCATCTCTATTTTCTAAAAGATTTTTATGTATAATTAGTATTTTTTCCTTCTTTAAATGTTTGACAGAATTCGCCCAGTGAAGCCATAATGGCCTGGAGTTTCTTTGTAGAAAAAATTTTTAACTACAAAATTAATTTCTTTAATATATGTATGGCCACTAAGATTTTTTTTTTTTTTTTTTTTTTTTTTTTTGGAGTCAGCTTTGGTAATTTGTGTCTTTCAAGGAAATTTTCCAGTTCATCTAAAGTTGTTGAATCTACTGGTATAAAGCTATTCATATTACCCTTTTAATATCTATAAAATCTATAGTGATGTCAACTCTCATTCCTGGTATTGGCAATTGTGTCTTCTCTCTTTTTCTTGATTAGTCTTAGTTGAGGATTATCAATGTTATTTATTCTTCGAAGAACGAGTGTTTGGTTTCTTTGATTTTTTCTGTTTGTCCTTTTTCTATTTGATTGATTTGTGTTCCTCTTTATTTCTTCCTTTAATTTTAGGTTTATTTTGCTCTTCTTGTTCTATTTCCTTAATTAAGGTAGGAGCTTAAATCATTGATTAAATATTTTTCTTCTTTTCTAATACAAGTATTTAATGCTATAAAATGCCCTCCAAAAAATGGTTTAATTGTAGACCACAGATTTTGAAATGTTGTATTTTCATTTTCATTCAGTTCAAAATATTTTCTATCATCCTTTGTGATATCTTCTTTGACCCCTGGGTTATTTATAAAAATGTTGTTTAATTTCCAAATAATTGGATTTTCTCCAGATTTATCCTGATGATTCCAATCTTTTCCAATGTGTTGAATTTTGTTTTATGGTCTACTGTATAATCTATATTGGTGAATGCTTCGTGTGTACTTGAAAAAAATGGCAATTTGCTTTTGTTGAGTGGCGTATTCTCCAAATGTTAAGTTATGTCAAGTTGGTCAATCATGTTTGTTCAAGTCTTCTATGCCCTTAATGATTTTCTGCCTACTTATTCTATTAATTACTGAGAGTTGTTTTGAAATTTCCAACTACAACTGTTGACTTATGTGTTTCTCCTTTCAGTTCTATCAGTTTTTGCTTCATGTGGTTTACAGTTCTGTTATTGGGTGCTTAAACATTTAAGATTTTAATGTGTTCTTGATAATTTAGCCCTTTCTGTCATTTTGAAATTTCTCTTTATCTCTGACAATATTTCTTACTCTGAAATCTACTTAGTCTGATATTAACATAGCCGCTCTCATTATTAGTGTTTGCATGGTTATGTCTTTTTCCATCCTTTTACTTTTAGTTTATTTATGTTTTGGCTTCTGGTCAAGACGGTGGAATAGAGGGACCCCAGCATCACTCTCTCCCACAAATCAACCAATTTACAACTATTAAAAAGCAACAACAGCCAAGCTGGGGCCACTAAAGCTTAGGGGAAGAGGAGGAAAGACCTGTGGAGTTCAAGAAGGCAGGAGAAGCCACAAGGAGAAAAAGAAAGGATTGTTCCCACCATTTCAAACCCCAGATGCTTTAAGGCTGGAGCTGGTGAGCACATGGAGCAAGGGTTGGCAAAAGCTGCAGTTGTGCCCTTTGCATGAAGTTGCTTGAATGCTGCAGGGGAGAAGGGGGTCATGGTGGCCCCCAAGCCAGCTAGACCACTATCAGAGTTCCTGTGGACCCACATAGGAGGAAGGAGGCACAGACGACAGAAAAAAGGAGCTACTCAGAGGTCAGTGAGTCATCACAAGGGACCAGCGCAAGGCCCATCCCATGGGGGGTGTTTAGAGTGGGGGGAGGGGGAGACAGGCCCACCGGGGGAACATTGGGGCACAGCATGGACAGCTGATCTGCCCTCCAATCAGCACAGTACCACTCAGTGGAGACTGGTCAGGAGTATAGAACTGCAGGGGGTGCAGTTTGCTGAAAAAACTCAGAGTGGTTTCCACACAATCCAAGTGTACCAGACCTCACAAGACCTGGAAGTGCTTACAAGGTCAACAATTAAAACCTGAGCTGCACAAAAAGCCTTCCCCAGAGAATCAGCAGCAAAGCAGCAATTTAGCTCAACCACAGGGCTAGCGCTGGTTCTCTTAGGAAGTTCCCCCATTTTAGAAGTTAGACCTTTACTGGTTAATATCAAACTTTGTCTCTGATTTGTGGGTATTTTGATTTTTCTTTCAGTTTTGTGTTGGATTATTCGTTATTTCTACCACTTCAACTCTCAGTGCAAAGTTTAAGTTTAAAACTGAAAGAAAAAACAAAATATCCAGAGATCAGAGACAAAGTTTGATATTAACCAGCAAAGGCCTAACACCACCAAAGAACACCTATAAAACCTAGAAGGCTCCCAACCCCTGGGCTACCAAGCTGGGCAGAAGGGAGGTCTGTGGGCCTCAGCCACGTCCTCTCAGCAACCACACCCAGCCCAGTCACGACCACCAGTCTGCTGCCGGAAGCACCCCAGGCTCCTGAGCCAGGGCGGTGGGGAACCGAGGGCCTCAGCCACACCCCCCTGACATTCACAACCAGCCCAGTGATGACCACCAAACTGTTGCTGGAAGCGCCCTGGGCTCCCAAGCTAGGGCGGTGGGGGACCAAAGGCATTAACCACACCCCCAACATCTGCATTCAGCCCAGCAATGACCAAGCCACCACTGGAAGCCCCCTGGTCTCCCCTGCCAGAATGAGTGGGGTACCATGGGCCTCGACCATGCCACCCCTCCTTCCTCCTCCTCCCACCTTATTTCTCTGCCCCTTTTCCTCCCCCCTCCCCCCCAACTGCTCTGCAACATCTTAGAATGTAAAAACATAATAATATTAATACATAAATGTTTTAAAAAGTTAAACATAGGGCCGGCCTGGTGGTGCACTGGAGAGTGCGCCGCTCCCGCCAAGGGTTCGGATCCCATGTGGAGACCGGTTCCTGCTCACTGGCTGAGCGCG